AATAACAATAATATCCTCTGCCTCAGCTGCCAAGCAACAGCTGCTTCTCAACTTTTGTGGTAATTCTGGTATCTCTGGGTGTGGGGCTGGGAGCCTTCTGTGGCTGCCCCAGGCTGAGTACAGAGCAGGGAGATGCAGACACTGCAAAGGTTTCCACCATTTCTGAAGTCAGTGAACAAGCTCATTCAAGAAGTATTTTCCTATCCATTTGCCTCATATGCAGGAGAACAAACATATAGTAGAAAGTAGTCATTGGCTGGGCGCAGTGGCTCAAGCCTGTAATCCCAGCACTTTGGGAGGCCAAGATGGGCGGATCACAAGGTCAGGAGATCGAGGCCATCCTGGCTAACATGGTGAAACCCCGTCTCTACTAAAAAATACACACAAAAAACTAGCTGGGCGAGGTGGCGAGCGCCTGTAGTCCCAGCTACTCGGGAGGCTGAGGCAGGAGAATGGTGTAAACCTGGGAGGCGGAGCTTGCAGTGAGCTGAGATCCAGCCACTGCACTCCAGCCTGGGCGACAGAGCGAGACTCCATCTCAAAAAAAAAAAAAAAAAAAAAGTAGTCATTTATCAGAGGATCGTATTTCAAATGCGTGATAGACTATCATATTTTTATGATATTTGTCATAGCCTCGAACACTCTCTCAACCACACAAGGACACTTATTTGACTACTACTGCCATAGTTACTGGTAATATCCAGCAGGTTTTAATTTGCAGATAAATACTTTTTACTTTGGCACACAATTAACACAATGACAGCAAAACAATTTAATCATGTCATATGTGACCATTACCTAAAGTGTCTGTCTTTATATAATCAGTAGAAAAATTGCAGCCATCTATTTGTAATATTGCTAATATTGACATTTGAATGGAATTCGATGAATATCTAGAAATAAAATGGATACTGAGCAATAATTAAGCGCTTGTATGTTTGCAGTTGTATACTTGCAAACTATTTTCAAAACAAATGGGGCCGGGGTATAGTGTTCTGGGAGTTTCTGTTGGACTTGACATTTCCTGGGTCAAATCTCAAGAACTGTTTACTTGAGGAGCGGGAGGCAGGGCATGGAGCTGAGAATGTGAAGGAAGGGGCAGCCTCCCAGGGAGAATTCCAGTCAGTGATCCAGTCATAGGTTTGGAGGGGATACTGCACCTGGACATGCGCCAACAACCTGGAAACTGGGGTATCTTAGGGGAAAGAAGACTCCAAGAAGTCCTGATGGTAATTCACTGAACTGACTTGAGCAGACCAGGAACAATGTTTTATACGGTCCCTTGGGAAATTAAAGCAGGCATACTCTGTGGGACTTCTGATATACCTAGGACAGCAGGGTTAAATAAATATAAGACAATAGAGATCTCATTGGAGGGCAAGGGTCCTCTGGAAGGTTTCTGTGTTTGGTGGAAGGGGTGGTAAGTACAAGTCCTTAGAGTAGCATTTAGGAAAACATTGCTTTAAGCTAAATAACAAATTAAAGTCTAAGTTGCACACAGACACAGACATGCAAAGATCTGTTACTGTTTTGCTTTATTCAATCTATAGGGAGATTTTTCAATTATAATGGATCATTTAAGTGCTGGTACATTTTAATTAAAAGGCAAAAGAAGTCCTAACATTTTATAATATGAATGCATCCAAAAATCATGAAGATGAGCTGCATTGTTCTCTGCAGCATTTTCTAATAGACACATCAGAATTAGCCTAAATAGCCAACAAAACTAGTTCTTTAAATTTGATAACCTACATACTTAGCATGGCATATTACACATCTATAAAAAGGATGTCCAAAATGTATGCAATTACATGAAAAATTGTTCCAAGTATACATTAAAAGTAAGTTTAAACAATGAATGTTGTATAAATCAGTTTTATAAATAAGTCCATTCATAGAAAAGACTATCTGCAGACATTAATTGATTAATCTATCTAGCAGATAATTTTAATCTTCTTCCCTTTGTTCCCACAAAGAGCCATTTAAAAATAGACTTAAAAAAAAATTCAGGCTCTTGAATGCTTCGTTGTTTTTTTGTTTGTTTGTTTTTGAGACTGAGTTTCGCTCTTATTGCCCAGGCTGGAGTGCAATGGCGTGATCTTGGCTCACTGAAACCTCCACCTCCCAGGTTCAAGCAATTCTCCTGCCTCAGCCTCCTGAGTAGCTGGGATTACAGGCATGCGCCACAACACCCTGCTAATTTTGTATTTTTAGTAGAGATGGGGTTTCACCATGTTGGCCAGGCTGGTCACGAACTCTTGACCTCAGGTGATCCACCCACCTTGGCCTCCCAAAGTGTTGGGATTACAGGCATGAGCCACCATGTCCGGCTTCTTGAATGCTTTTTGATAGTGGCTACTGTCAGTGTCAAATCAGATGGGCAGATGCAGTGTAGCACAGACATGCTAAAAGAGACTGGTATTGCCCCCAAGGTGAGATCCTAGCTACTCTGAAGGTGTGTGGCCTTCCTAAGGACCATCATACATAACCAGATACACAGTGCATCATATCAAAATTTCAAGGAGGTGGGGAATGGGGAAGCAATCAGAAAAATGTCCAAAAGATTTTTTTGTTTTTGTTTTTGTTTTTGTTTTTTGTGGGAGTGATCATGGAAAAAAGGACAAAAATGTTTGCTGATATGGCCTAACATTTTTAGGAATATGGTTGTTAAATTGAAGTACAGCTATGTTTTAAAAGATGGATTGAAGTAATTGGAAGACCAAGTCTTTTTGTAGACTCCCTCCTGCCAGTCATCTCAAGTTGAGCATGTGGTGGCATGTCATCCCCTGGTTCCCGGAGTACACAGGTGTGAACAGTCTGTTGTCTTCCCTGCAACTGACAGAGGCCATACCAGGGCTGCAAGCCCTTGTCAATCTCCTTTTCAAAAAGGCTCTTATAAATTTGAAGCAGACAGTACAGCTGGCTCCTCATCCACCCTCTCAGGACACACAGACATGTGTTACAAAGAATGTCCTGTGCTTTGTTGGAAACATAGAGTGGAAGCATCTCCCTGATCTGTATCTCCGAGCAGTGTGCCGTCCTGAGCCGTGGCCACGGCGCCTGCCTGTCTCAGTTCCAAGGCAGCAATTGAGTGATAATTGCAGGATCTTATTTTGAACAACACTACAGCAAAGCCCGATAAAGTTTGTAACTATTTAGATCGAAATCTGAGAACTCTAAACAATTTATTTACAAAGAAAGACACAGATAGGTTTTAATGTGTCTCATAAATCCTCTCTCCTTGACCGCAAAGAGAGCAGATACACAGTTCTTGGGGGAATCAATTAGCCCTGGACAGGGATTCCTCTCTCCAGTTGCTTCCCCGGGTGTAAGGCTTTCATAGGCCAGGAGGTTCCAGGCACTAAGGCTGAACAAAGCAAAGCCCTGGGGCTTCACTTTAAGAGTCGGGCTGAGGTTCCTTGGGAATAGTCAAATGGGTCTGGAAACATCCTGAGCAGATAAACTGGATAAAAACCAGAACAGATCCTTAGACCAGAATTTCTTCTTAGACCACTGTTTCTCAACCTTTCTCAGCCTCTCCATCTCAACGTCTGTCAACTGACGCTGGCTCATTCTTTTGCTACGGGAGGCTGCCTTATGCATTAACATCCCCTCTACCTTGTACCCACTAGAGGCCAGTAGCACCCCCACCTCCCACCCCCATTTGTACTGTTACCAAGTGTCCCCTGGGAAGGCGTAAGAATCATCACTCTCCTCCCCCCCCCCCATTTAGAGAACCACCTTAGACAATGACATTTCTCCCTTTTCAGAGGTTATTTTTTTTTCTAAGCACAGATTGCTATTTGGATATCATTGCCGTCTCTCCTCTCAGCCTTTCTGAGTGCCCCGCTATAAAATTACATATTGGCTAATTCTTCCATCTTTAACCTGAAGCTTTGAAAGGAAACAGCTTTTATCTTCTCTGTTACATTGAGGTTGGGGGGTGGGTAGTAAGGGTTTGAATATCTATTGCTTTGCATGCAAATTTTAATCCTTTAATCACCTCCCCACAGTTTCAGGGGGAGTTTGACTGAGAATCCACCAGCCCACCCTGGTCTTTACCATAGGCCTGCAAACAGACTGGAGGAAACCTGAAAAGGTCGTTTCCTTCCCTTAGCCCTAATACCCAGGTTTTGGATGCAGATAACTTCAGGCCTTTTAGCTCAGAGAAGAGGGAGACTGCTCCCATCTGTACCTCTGTCTGTCCTGCTGGGCCCAGGGTATGAATGATCTTCTTCACTTATTAACAATTTGCATATTGTTCTCCATCTGACTGAATTACGTCTTTGTCCTGAAAAAGATAAGTTTGTGAGAAACTTCGTTTGGTGCCAATTTTCCTTATTTTTTAGCCTTGGCGAAATAAAAAGGGTAGTATTTTAGCAAATTCAACAACAGAACAAAACAAAAGTATTCTTTTATTTTGAGTAGCAGTCATTAAAAAGAACTGGGATATTTGCTTTTCCTCTGCCAGCTCTTTATTAGCTAATGATACAAGAGAATGTGGTCCCCATCCATGTGCCGCTGCTACGTGTATGATTTGTGCAGGGCCAGTTTCCAAAGCAAGTTCTTATCTGGCAGAGTCGGCTTTGCGTGTTGACTATGCTCCTGTTAACATGGTGCCATAAATTATATGGCTCCAGTTTTTTCTTGCAGTCTAATCATTTCTCTGGGAAAACAGTGTCCCACTGGGTCTTGCCCTTCACAGGATGTGTAAAAACACAACTCCAGCAAGATGGGAGGACAGGAAGCTTTATCATTCATCGCAGATGAAACATGCTCCATCACCCCAAAGACGCCTTCCAATGTTAAATCTCTAAACAAAAGATTTCTACACACGTTAGAATGTGAACTCAAAATAGGCAGATATAGCAAATGCAAAACTGCAGTCACTGAAAATAACACTCTGCTGGAAAAAAATGACGACAACACTTCTTTGCCTTTAAATATGAAGGATAACCAGGACCATAAGGAATTACTTATCCACCTGCGTTGCTTTTCAGATCAAGAGAGCTGACACTGAAAGAAGAGAAGGGAATTGTTCCATGTGAAGCAGCTGATGAATGGCAGGGTTGGGACAAGAACTTACCCAACTCTGACTCCCAAGTTCTCTGATTGCAATTTGCCACCTGTCCCCAGCAGGAAGACCAACCACCACGTGTTCCCACCCAGGGCCTCTGCACAGGCTGCTCCCTGTGTCTGCAATGGTCTCCCCCCAGATACTGGCTTCACTCTTTCCCCCACTTTATTGAGGTCTATGCTCTGATGTCCTCTCCTCACTGACCACCGTGTTGACAACAGCAGCCACAGCTTCTCCCCTTTCTGCTATTTTGCCTTCTATCACAGCACTTACCACCACCTGGCATTATATTTATTTGCCACATGGGCCACCAAAAGCATCCGCCAAAAGTAAATTGCAGATATTCATGTCAGAAAAGAAAGGCCTTACTCCATGCTTCAAGGCTGTAGTTATAAAGAACTTAGAAATGGGTAATCATTAAGAAAAAGTCGGGAATCTCACATCTGATTAAATAAATACAAATAAAATGATAAGATGCCACAACTTAGGTTAAGCTCACCAGTGGACTATGTTTGCCAAGTCAGTTCTCCCTCCCCACAAAGCTCTTTGACCTCTGCCTTTCTGGGACACCTCACACTCCTGGTGTATTTGTCAGTGTTCTCCAGAGAAGCAGAATCAACAGGGGGTGTGTGTGTGTGTGTGTGTGTGTGTGTGTGTGTGTGTGTGTGTTTGTAGAGAGAGAGACAGAGAGAGAGGGAGATGTTAATGAATTCCCTCATGTGATTGTAGAGGCGGGTAATTCCAAGATCTTCAGGGTGGGCTGGCAGGCTGGAGACCCAGAGAAGAACTTATGCTACAGTTCAAAGTCCAGAGGTCTCAGCTGCAGAATTCCTTCCTGCCCAGAGGAGGTCAGTCTTCGTTCTATTAAGACTTTCTCAACTGATTGAATGAGGCCCACCCACCTTAGGGAAAGCAATCAGTTTTATTCAAAGTCTATTGATTCAAATGTTAATTTCATCCCAAAACACCCTCACAGAAGCATCCAGAAGAATAATGTTTGACCAAATATCTGGGCATTGTGACCCAGCCAAGTTGACAAATAAAACTAACCATTCATTGCACCTGTTTTTCTTCCAGTTATACAAATGCTCCATTTGATTCTTCTTAACCAAATCCTCCTCCACCAGGATTATTGGAATGCCCCACGCAGGGTTTCCAGATACAGCAAATAAAAACACAGGGCCTCCGGTCAAATTTTAATTTCAGATAAACGGTAATTTTTTAACATAAGTATGTCCCAAATATTGTATGAGAAATACTTATTCTAAGAAATTATTCATGGTTGATTCATTCACATTTAATGGATTTTTCTGTATTTTCTCTGCCATGCTATGTGAGGGGCTCTGGGCAAGGCCATTTTCTCTGCCCTTCCTAGATTCTGCTTCCCCTGCTGAGATTCCAGATTATAGAGATGACTCTCACATCTACATTTTCAGCATGGGTCCCCATTTGTTCCATTGCTGCAACAGAAATATTAATGTTCCTGGCCTCATTCAGCCTTTTCCATCGGTGGCGGAGGTTAGTAACCTCAGCCTCTGTTTCCTATAAGCCAGTTTCCATCAATTACTTCCAAAATGTTTCCTGCATCTGACAACTTCTCAGCACCTTAACGAGTCAATCCTACACCTTCATCACTTTTCTGGACTATGCTGCAACCTCCCAGCAGGCTCCCAGGCTCCATTCGTGCTCTTACTGTCTGTTTTCTCCTTCACAAGTAGGCTTATTTTTATAAATGGAATCTCCTTTAGTCCTTGCCTTATCCCTCTGTTAAACAAAAATCTCCCAACATGGCTCCTTGTAATTAAAATCTAAGCTCTCCACAAGTCCCTGTGCGATCTGCTCCTTGCACTGGGGCCTCACGGGCATTCTTTATCTCAGGCTCACCACCTCGTACTGGCCTTAGGCTTTGGCATTGCTACGTCCTCTGCTGAAGAAGTTCTTCCTTCAGATAAGGCTCTCCTGTCCAGCCTGGGCTCAGATGTTATCTTCCTAGAGAGGTCCCGCCCAGCCACCTCAGAACATCAGCCTTTGTCTTCTTACTCTGGCTTCTTCAAGGCATCTGCATTACCAACGTTTCCTCCAAATGGGATATAAACTTCTGGAAGGCACAGACTCTGCACAGTTGGATCTTTATTATACCCACTCCCACATATTTGTCTCTTTATTTTTCAAATATAATATTATCGGAAAAAAATCATGTTATGAAAAATTAAGTGAAATGGGCACTGACAAACTGTTGGTAAGAACTTTACTGGGGAACGCTGTCTCAAAAACACTTTGCCAGTATATTTTAAGAATCGTGTCCAGGTGCGGTGGCTCGCACCTGTAATCACAGCATTTTGGGAGGTTGAGGTGGGAGGATCACCTGCGGTCAGGAGTTTGAGACCAGCCTGACCAACATGGTGAAATCCCATCTCTACTAAAAATACCAAAGTGGTTGGGTATGCTGGTGTGTGCCTGTAATCCTAGCTACTCAGAAGGCTGAGGCAAGAGAATCACTTGAACCCAGGAAGAGGAGGTTGTAGTGAGCTGAGATCGCATCATTGCACTGCAACCTGGGCTAAAAGCGTAAAACTCTGTCTGGAAACAAAACAAAACAAAACAAACAGTGATCATGTCTTTGTCTCACTAATTACAAAGTTAGAAATCTGTTTTCAGGACATAGTGTGCAGTGTGGGCAAGAATTTGTCTGTAAGGATGTTCTTTGTGGAGAAAATATATAAAGAAAGGGAAATGTAGCAATAGGGGAATGAATAAAAATCACAGGGTATGTCTGTATGGTGGAATGTGATGCAGCTTTTACAAACGGCATTTTTCTTTGAGTCGATGGCAGGCCTTCTGTACTTTCCTCCTGGGACATTAAAGTACTTATTAAAATCCAAAAAGCTATGCAAAGAGGATGTCAACAAGACTAAAAAGTAGGACTATGTATGAATGGTTGCCAGACCTAAGGAGGAATATTCACATGCCCATAAAGAAAATCACCTCATGGAGGTGAGAGACTGCACCTGCTGTCATGGCTATACCTCCCGCAGGGTCTCAGGGCCTTCATGGGACAAAGGAGGCACCAAAGCATCCTAACTGACTATTGCATTTTGAGATATTCTGAACAGTTAGTCTTGTTACACCCAGAGAGACACAGCCTTCCAAACATCTCCAAATTTTAATGAGACTGTAGGCCCTGGGAATGCATCCGGGCTGGCGCAGAGATGAGAAGTGGTGTGAGTTGTATAGGGAGGGGTGGAGTTGGGAAAAGAAATGGTCTGGGAAGGAAAACATCTTGGGGACCACCTTTGCTGAAGGTTGTAATGTTCATGTATTGCATTAGAAAGGGAATAACAACACCTTGAACCAAAATATTTAAGAAAATCGGCATTTTCAGGTCATCAGGCCCCAGGGTAGAGGTGAAGAATGTTCTCAATGAAGCATAACCAGAACAGATCAAGTGACTGCTGGATGCCGGACATGAGTGTGGAGCAGGAGACACAGACATCAACTCATCCTTGTCTTTAGATCAGAGAGGGAACATTCCTAATATAACCTAGTAGACAGTAAAACAACAACAGCAACAATAACAAAATCCAGCCTGGTTTACTGACAGTCCCTGCTACCTGGGACAGAACCATGACAGTCAATAATGCGCACGAACCGAGTAAAACATCATACACATAAACAAATTTCAAAACATAAAAGATGACACGGGGTATATTGCTAGGACTGCCTTAGCAAAGTACCACAGAGTGGCTTAAATAATAGACATCTGTATTGCATTGTAGTTGGATGTAGTCCAGAAACACCCAGGACTTCAGGAGGTGCTAGAAGTCAGAGACTGAGGTGTCAGCAGGGCCATGTGCCCTTGGAAGGATCTAGGGAAAGGCCATTTCTGGAAGTTCCTTGGCTTGTGGCAGCCATCTTCATATGACGTTCTCTGTGTTTACATGTCTGTGTTCCAGTTTCCCCTTTTTATAAAGACACCAGTCATACTGGATTAGGGATCCCTCTGATTCCAGTGTGATCTCATCTTAACTAACTGTATCTGCAGCTCTGTCTCCAAAAAAGGTCACATTGTGAGGTCCATTAGGACATTAGGATTTCAACATATGAATTTTGTGGGAGGGGGTGTAATTCAGCACGTAGCACAGAGATAAAGCATATTAAAGTAAAACATCACCAGCAGGAAAACTTTACAAACATCTGTTTTGTGTTCTCAATATAAGATATGACAATATGAATTTCATAACATAAAATTTAAAAGTGAAGTGAGAGCATAAGAGACTAAAATGGAAAGGAATATCTGGTTAAGATGCAGGCCAATATGAAATGAGAGGTGGAGAAAATGCAACGGATTTGCAAGGAAACTAGAAGTTGCAAATGTTGGATTAAAATCCATTTTAGATAAACTACAGAATAAACACTGTAGAAATCTGAATGATGATAAAAAGTTCTAGATGCCTTTTTAGACTATTGTGGAAATATAAAGAGATGAAATAATGAAATAGATATAGATGAATGGAAAGATAAATATAGATATTGGCTCATAGACATTATTAAAGAGTTAGATATCAATGGAAGATGGTAAGTAGATAGGTAAGAGATAGATGGATGAGTCAATAGGTCAATAGGGAAGTTAGACAGATATGAAATAGAGAACATATAAAGCAATGTAAAAGAGAAGTGAATAGAGATAGAGGAAAGTGGGGGAGAAGTGGAAGAGGTAGAGATGGATAGATACCAAAAATACAAATTTTCCATGTTTTCATTTCAAGAAGGGAAAATGATTATTCTTTGAACAGAGGATAATGTAGTCACCAGAACCAGTTTTAAGCCCTCCCTGACCAACCTTGGATGGCACTATCTGAGCGCATGTGCTGTAAAGGTGAGCCAGTGAATGACGGTCCCATACTTCTGAAATCAGGCAGCAGCATTCACACTCCCCCAACACTGCTTTTGTGGCTAATGGAAATTCTGGTTTCTGAAATTCTTAAACTCAAAAGTGTTTCTCAGAATACTCCATGAAACCGTTTTCAAAAATGGCATAAGAAAATAGAAGTGAATATCTTGCAAACAGATTAGGAAAGATTTTTCTAAGCATAAGTTAATAGAAAAAAATCACCCAAAAACTATTAGATAATAAAAATCAAAGACATTTGAGTGTCACAAATACTATAAACAACATTACTAGACAAATGAACTAGAAAAATTATTTGCTTCAAATATAACAGACAGATTGTGGTTAGCAGTCATCCTTGTTTAAAGAACTCCTACCAATTCGCAAGAAAGGCAGGGAAACTCCAGGAGCAAAATAGGCACAAGCTACGAAGACAAGTCACAGGAGAAACTCAAATAGCAGTAAGCAAACAGGAAAACGTGTTTCTCAAGCAAATCTCAAGTAAATCAAAATCAAAGAAATCACATTAAAGAATGCAAATTTAAACCATCATGGCATTTTGTACATCAAACTAGCAAATATCCATCTTGATGAAGCCA